CAAAATTAACCATCAATTAGACTTCCCACGCGGCATACTTCCATTGAACTCTATATGATAATCGGAATGCTCACCAGTCATAAGACCAATGTAAACATAACCGAGATAGCGTGTTGTGAAATAAGCAATATGAAATTCTTCGTGTTAATCTTATCACATAGTTATATGAATTGATTACCAATACATTTAAATTCGTTGTTCGTTTAACGTTTTGACTTTTGTTCCGCCTTCTGCGTTCTCAAAGTTTTAAAATAATTAAAATAGTGTACCTACTGTGCAGTTAAGACTAAATGGTGAATTTTGTAGTGCCTTTAATTGTGCTAGCTCTAGTGATGTTAGAAAGACTTGTCATTTCACAAGTTATAAGTTATTATATGGTGTTATTATTTACCATTGATATTTTTAAACAGATTTATCTATTATTTTAATATTTAAGGTTCCTCTTAAAGATAAAGAGAGGCTTAAAATAGTATGCTGTTCAAGGAGATTTTAAACCTAGTTCCAATACAATCTTATGTAGTTTATATTTCAATGAAACTGACTTCTATTCAGCAGTTGTAAGTGGAAAATGTTAATAAAATTTGCCAAAATAACTGTATTTGATTTCCAAATCATTTAACTCAAAAATAAAGAAAGGAGAATTCTGCAACGAGAAGTAAGTAATATACATAATAAAACAAGTATTTATATTTTTATATTATTACATGGCTATTATGTATTAAGAATTTTGTGTTCTTGATAAAATTGTTGGATATGTATTTAAGGACACAACCACAACAATAGCCGTCAAAATAATGAAATATGTTATCTACTTGTAAACAGAGACAAAGTTTGTAGACATTTGGGACAGACAAAATTAACTGGGAAGAATTAGAAAATACAAATGATTTACTAGAGATAAAAGGATTTGCAACAGAAATTAATTAGAAGATAAACTAGTATTCGCGTGAAATGTTAAATTTATTAAAAGTAATCACTTAATTGAGATACTGTAGATAGTTTAAGAACAATTTGATCTTCTACCTTGCTTATTTAAAATGAAATGGTTAATCTGTAATAATGCTGGCAGAAGTACACGTAACTGAACGAAGCGCACAACAGCTATATATATATATGTATTATATATAAAAATAAATGCTTCACGTATTATACGAATTGGTGTGCCGCAAAAATTTTGTAGAAGAAGAAGTGTGCTACATTGTTAAAAAAGTTAAAAACAACTGGAATAGACCATAGCTGGAATATCTAAATAACACATATTTAACCATATTATTTACAATATAGTACAGGAATATTATACAGTTTAAAGTTTGAACTTTTGAAGCCATAATAACGTGATATAAAATTTGAGCATGTGCAACAGTACCAAGTCCACTAATTATGATAAGGCACTACATATTATTATGTCTTTATAACTAAGCGGACTTGGCACTGTTAGGCATGTGTTAACTTTTTATCTTGTTATTATGACCCGCTGTGATAACAAAAAGCCCCAAATATGTTTGGACTTGAAATTAATTATTATATTAAGAGAATGTCAGCATAAAAGTAAAGCTATACGACTATACAACGCTTCAGGAATAAAGACTTCAACAGATAAGTCATTAGCCAAAAGTTACATTCATATTAACGTTGGATACTTTTTTTTTTTAATTGTGGGTTATTCCTTAATTACAATGTCGAAATTCATTATTATTATATGTTTTTATTATAAAATTTTAGTAAAAATAAGTACCTAATAAATAGATAAAAATGACAAAAAAAATTACATATATAATTTCAATTTCTCAACAAGTGAAAATTTAAAAACTACATAATTATAACAAATAAAATCAAAAGACAAACTAATTAATAAAGTCATCATTAGATATAAACAGAATATCTTAATAGCTGAGTATGTATATATATTTAGACTTAATAATTAATAAAAATAATTTTATTGAAGGAAAAAAAATAGAGTAAAAAATTTATAAATCAAATCAATTTATGAAATAAGCCTAGGGGCTGGGACTCATCAATTTTTGACTCTCAAAACATGGTTGACCATAATATGCTTAACCAGAACATCTTTCAAAATCATTGAACTCAATTGATTAAACTTATCTTATAGTATTAATGTATTATATACCTACGTAGGTAACCAATGTATAGTACCTATATGAAACACTACAGTCAAGCAACAAATGAAAACAAATATACCTACATAAAAAAAAAAAATTATATCAAATTAATTTTATTTAAAATCGATAAGTAATTATTAACATAGGTAACATAAAGTTGACCAACATTTCAATGTTTAAATTTATTGTGGTAAATCAAATAAAAATTGAGAATTTTGAATTATTCTATTATAATAATGTTTATTGATTTATTTATTAACTTATCAGGTGATTGTTTATTAATTATTTCTATATTTTAACGATTACGTATGCAAGTAAGTTAGTGATAATACCACAATTTTTAAGATTTAAACTTACCATGATTAATAGCTGAAAACGAATCAGAATAACTAAATACAAATTCGGGAAGACGTGTTGCAGGTATTGAGTGGATTCACAACAAATATGCGATGAGTACAACTGCACTTGTACAATAGAAGTTAGTTCGTAAGAGACTTGTTGCTAATGTTGTCTAATCTATAAAAAGAGCTTAGATATTAATGATTAAATTAAGTGTTTAATTATCAAGAATTCAAATTAAGGTTTAATTTTTTGTACTATAATTGTGATTAAAATATAATAAACTCGAAAGTATAACTAGAGGTAAAAATAATAATCAAATTTTACCTGTAGACTGTAGAGGTACTATGTGATATATATTATATCAATAACAGTGTCGTAAGCATGTCCCAAAAAATATTCATAAAAAATAGTGTATACGAATAAAATTATTAAAGTAAATTTTATTATAAATATCAATTTATGAAAAGCATGTTACATACAATATTAATAATTAAAAAGGAAACAAAAAATGTATTTAAAAAAAAATTATTTTTATATTAATTACTCGCAAAAAGGTAGCTTTCATGTTATGTAAAAAATCATCAATAATTGACATGAAAATTATATTATACATAATTGTATAGGTGTGTATACATTTTATGTTTGGGTTTTGGGTGACTAATAAGAATAAATTTGGTGGCAGATTACGTGTTAGTCCTGAGGGTTATGTGATGACACAACAATGTATCAAGTTTACTGATTTGTCTACCTCTACGGTACCTATCTGAAAAAAAATATCTTTCTCTATTACATATTTACATCATTTTCAGCACTACCTAAGTACATTTCATCTCTATTGTTGCATTAATGCAATATTGCAGTTCGTTTATTTTGAAGTATGGATAAGGGTCGCGGTTAAATCGGTCGCCTGGCAACAATAAATAACAACAACAACAACAACAATATGAAGTACATTTTATATTTTTTTTAAATGATCAACATGATAGCTGATTTTTGCTCGTATGTTAATGAACATATAATACAGTAGTACAGTACCTATATTTAAGTGATATAATCGCGGTAGTACAGTATTGCAATTTTACTAAGTTTAACAGTACCTATAAACGTATAATAATTTTCTATTTTAAATGGTCATATTTTTTAGGGTTTTCTTAATACAATTTAATAAACGCCCAATTTCTGTTCAATTCCAATCTTTGATTAACAACTGTACCTACAAGAAAAATCATGCACACACCGTGATGACTTCAGTGGAGCTGACATCGAGTAGCGGATCGCGTACGCACCGTTATGGCTGAGCTTTTCATCATCGGACAACTGTGTAGCGCCGAGCGGTTTCCTTCCAAGAGTTTATTTTGCAAATGGAGCGTTCATGCCGGTGAGGTTAATTTCTTAAAATGACGTATTCACGCTATTTCATTAAGATTGTTTTATAATTATTATTTATATCACCTTTTCCAAAAATAACGTACGCGCACTTGCATGGATTTATTATGCACACATAATATATATATATATATATATTGTATACTCTATATAAACATTAAGCAAGTTTTTTTTTTTACCAACCTATATACATGTAAATATCAAATGAGAACTGAGAGAAAATATTATTTTTCAACTAGAATTTAAATTAAATACCTATAGCATAGAATATACATTTTTGTTGGGCCGAAATTTAGTCTTTCTTCAGTAATAATTGTTTGTATTCACTATTCATTAATGATGATCACTAAAATTTATTATATTTTATTAATTATTTAATATACATATTACGTGTTTCGTCGTACACATGTGTAATATAATATTAATTATTATACAATATATAATATACTGTAACTGGGAAGTTTCGAGTCATTTGTTAATTAAAGCGGTTGATTTTAATTACCTATAATAAATGTAATTATAATTTATTCATTATTTTCAGGTACTAACTGGAAAATAATATCAGGTCACAAAGAAGGACAAACCCAAGTGGACTCGCCGGCTTATGATAGCCGCACTTGGTGGTGTCACCCGATAGACATTCACTTCGCGTCCAAAGGCATTCAAGGTATGTCATATTTTTACTTATTCGACCATATTTTAATAATATATTAATATAGTATGTATTTGAGTAGTGAGTACTCCTTATATTTGTTAAAATTACGTTCATTATTATATATTATATACATTATACTTTGTAATTTATATTTTATAATGAATTAAAAATAATATTATACTCGTATATTATCTGTGAACGTTGACATTGTTTTCCGTTCCTAGGCTGGCCTAAATTCCACGTGCAAGTTTACCACTACGACAGTTACGGACGTTGTGAAATCTACGGATACGGATTTTGTTACGTGCCTACTACACCCGGAAAGCACACAGTAGATTGCCACACTTGGCGGCCAATCGGTCAGTATATGATTATATTCATATTTCATAAGTTATAACATTCACAGAAAGTTAGAAACATATTGAAAATTAAGAACTTGAAATAATATATGAGTACCTAGTACCTATATATTATATACTAGTGAGCAGACCTGACTGTTGATTAATTATTTGCAAACCGATTGTGATCCAGATTCGATAAAAATCGGATTTCGAATTTAATAGGTTATATTATTAGTTTTGAGATAAATTATTGTTTTACTTTATAGTTTATAGAATCCAATCCGTGTTTAAAATCATAAAGTTTATATGATTTAGAACTTTGTATAAACAGAAATTATAAGCAATGTAGTAATTTAAGTATATTTAAAGTTTTAAAAAAAAAACTTTGCTTTTATATTGCTGGTTCTTATTTATACTCAAAGGCCAAATTAAACCAAATCTATTACCATTTTAATAGTTTGAAATCTGGTTTATGATTATCCCGATAAACATCACGAAATACATTTTAGTACACGTATGTTGAGATCAATATTGATCGTGGATAATAACTAATAAGCAATAACGACTTTGCAGGTAATCTTAGGGACGAGTTCCGACGATTCTTCCTCGGTGGCGGCGCCCAATTGAAATCGCCGGATTTCGTGTACTGCGGCACAGACCGGTACCGATTGCACACCGAATCACTGGGAACGGTGCGTTTCCGGTTGAACATAATTGCTCGGAACTTTCGGCGGTACGGAGTGGAGCTGTAAACGATGACCGGAAGTTGGCAATCGGCTTTTTTCACGATCGTAGCGTTGTTGTCGGCCGGCATTGGGTATGCAGAAAACGTCATGCCCGCTATCAAAGACTGTGTAGCGAATAAAACGTGCTCGATGCAACCAACAACGGTGACGGCTGCAACGGTGCCGACGACAAAAAATGTACTCAAAACGACCATTGTCGAAGGTATTAGCTCGCAAATAGTTCATTATGATGTCCCTGGAAGCGATTCCAAAGGATCGACACTCAAGGACGTGATCTTGGTTGATGACAGAACCATCATATCAGTTGGCAGCGACAAGATTAACGGTTCTAAAAACGCTACTTCTAGCACTTCAAATATGACTGTCATTGTTAAACCTCCCGTTGAAAAAACTAGTGCAAAGACAACCGAAACAAATTTTCTAGTAATAAATACCACCAATACTACCAGTGCTACCATCACCATCACCGCCGCCACCACCACCGCCAACACCACTGCCATAACGGAATTTACTAGCGTCTCACCGCCGAAATACTTATCCGAATACGGTGCCGTCGTACATTTCGTTCTCAATAAATATTGCCACTGTGATCTAATCGTAAGTACATTTTCGTTTTTTTTTTAATAACATATTACTGTGAAAAACTAAATTAAAAACTCTATCTGTAAAGCTACCCACTATATCTTCTTCCTATTTAGGGTAATTTCCTTATAGAATCCATTATATAGGTGTGAACGTTATAATATTATACCTATTTTTGTAGTACGCCAGCTGCGACATAAACTGTTGTTGCGACACAGATTGTACCAATCACGATTTAAAGACGTTCACATTGTGCACCGATCAACCCAAGTCTACTTTAATAAAGCAAGAATCGATCTTATTCGATTCTTTGTTATTTTACGTAGTGATTGAAAACGTACCATCGGATTATTTCTATCCCGAACGAGACGTAAGTCTATACATTATTATATATTTATATATAAATAATATTAGTCTATAAATTTAATATATTGTAAAGCTATACGTTTCGATACCGTATTTCACAGACCATTGAATCCGAAACGCAAGTCATAACTTCTCTTCGTAAACGGGACGTGTTTACTTGGCGTAATGAAAAAACTATTAGCAGACATCATCATCCTTACACTTTTACACTTAGAGTGGATTCCTCTGTATTCAACAACTACGATCTTACTTACATGTCTTTACGATGGATGTTCAACATGGTTTCTAATGTAAATTATTCCGAAATAAAACCATTCGGTCAGTACAGTTCCCAATGTATATGAGTGGAGAAAATTAACTTATAACGTTAATACAATTTTTCTTTTATCAGGATTGAAAAATAGCGCTCTCGATTCGCTGTGCTCCGTTGAACAGCCCGTTGAATATTTGAAAACAAAGGAAACAAACTGCAAGACGTTCGTATCTAATCTGACGGAAATTTGTAATAATTATTCATCGTTAAGCTTCAAATTTTACTATGACGAAAAAGGGCTGTTCAAAGTGGTACAACCCATTTACAATAGCGTTCACAAGACCGAGGTAATGATTCTATATTAATGTCTCTGTTGTTTATTTAATTATCATATTTACGACTTTACGAGTATTATTATATTACGGTTAATTTCAAGGAAGTTAATGAAACCGTTTTATGAAAAATACCTCTTAGTTTACAGCCTATTTTAAAAACTAAATTTCAATGTATGATATGATATAAACGTATAAATTAATATATCGTAGTACCTACCGTTGAAAATGTGTATTAGTTGTTTTTTTCAATCTAATTGATTAATTATTAAAGAACGATAATAATTGTGAGACATTTGATATTTGCAGAAACTTGGTTTGGTAACCATCCAAGCGACAGCCCACCACCACTGCGTCTCGGTGAACGGATCGTCGTATGACTGTCAGATTGGGAAAGTTGGGGTAGGTACCAATGACGAAGACCATCTGCATCTTCCGTACTACGATCCTGTTTACTCGAGCGGTGTTTGTCGTCGGGCAGTCGATGCGGTCGAGTACTTAGTGACGCACAATGGATCTAGAGGCGTCCGCCATGTAGACGTACACTTTTATCACCGAGACGTGCCGGATACGGGCCGTCCCATCTACTTAGGCCAGAAATTCAGCGTTCGTTTCATTTGGGCTACGGTCCGATCAGTGAAGGAGTCGTACAAACGGAGTGGCAAACCCGGTTACATTACCGGGAGCCCGGTGTTGGTAACCATGACCAGCAGCAAAGATGTAGTGAAACTTCGAATCCCAAAGACGATGAACTTACCGAAACCAAACGAGTACGGTGTGTGCGGCGATGTTCATTCTACCGGACCCCGACAGTCCGTCAACTTTTTGGAAAGCGTCGACGTCCGGTGTCGCGTTCGAGTCCAACACCGGAGTCTACAATTAAACAAGAAACTTGAAGATCATACCACACCCAGTAGCGGCGTTTCAATCGTGGACATTTGTAACGATATTCAAAACGAAGTATGGCATATCATTTTTATCTATTGTATACGTATACCTACTTAAAAAAATAATTATATTATCATTATTATAATTAACAAGCTAGTCTGGTTTACTAAGTATATCAAAAAAATAAATAATATACTCAAAAACTTAGAACTAGAAGTATGGTCTGATTACGATCAAAAAAGTTCAATCGGTTTCCATATAATGTAAAATATAAATACACAATGCAGTGTTTAATAATAATATAATAATAAACCTAAATCGTAGGTACTAAACTTGTTTTCTCTCTGATCCGCACAAAAACAGACAAATTTGTGTTCAGCACAAACACCTAGCTAACCTCGTGTTGTTAACTTTAATATCGGAGTGAATTGAGCTATTATAATTTATAACGCTCAAAGTATATCACGAATTATCGTGGGTCCGCCATCGCGAGGACACAGATACACAGATAATGCGCTCTGGACTCGAGGCCTGATCACAGGTCTCTTCGCTCCCGCGATACCTAGGTAACGAACAACACCCGGTCGTTTCTGCTGAACCCCGTGCCGGACGGGAGAGAGATAAAAACGATTATTGTACTGTTAAGTCCGCCGACGTCTCATCGTCACTATTCATATACAAACGACGTGCCGTCATTATTGTTTTTTTTTTTTTTTTACTCATCGCGACGTCGTCGCGTGTGTTGCAGACGATGGCGGTGCTCGGAAATTACGAAGGCGCGCTAGTGGCAAGTCTGGGCGACCCGGACGTGTCCAGGTGGATACCGTTGGTCGTCGTCAAACCGCCCGCACAACAGTCGCCACCGCTGCCCGAACACCAATCGTGCCCGGCCGTGACGGACGGCGTGCACATACAGGTGTTTTACTCGCACGTGGGCCCGTTCGACGGCCCGCAGGCCACCGTTCTGGGCGTGCTGGCCAATTACAGCGCGTCGGCCGTCGCCGTTGGCGGCGATCGACCGGCGGTCGCCGAAGTGCCGGTCAGGGTCACCGTGGTGTTCGTGGACCTGACCCGGCCGCCCGTCCGGACGTTCGCCGAACCGCCCACGTACGAGTTCAGGCTGCCCGAAGACTTTTACTATCCGTTCTGGTCGTCCGGCGCCGGCCGAGCGTCGCGTCCCGTCCTGCACAACGTCTATTTCGTCGTCGGTTTGCACCTGTTATTGTCGTGCCTGCACCGCTGCGGGTCGTAATCGTCGCGCGCGCCCGTTTAGCGCGTGCTGCAGTGGGTACAATAAGAGACGTCGCTCGAGCGCTTCCTTTGCGGAGGACAAAAAGACAGCCCCTCCTCCCCCCCCCCCAAACAATCGATCACGACCAGCGGCTAAACGTTTCATTTACACTTGCCCACTTGACGTTTATTCACTTTTTTTCCACACTTAAACAGATATTATAATATGTCTACGCGGCGTAATGTTCACGGCGTAGTGTTATTATGATTCGACAATAATTTAACCGCAAACCTTTTCCCATTTTAGTAAATCGGTATACTCGTAATTTATAACGGAATGCAACTTTAGGGCATGTTATACAAATGACGCAGAGTTCCTACTTCCTAGTTGAGAGTTAATAACGTTATTAAATATGGAAAGTAATAACGGCTCAGCATTTTAAACAGACTTCATACTTGAAAACTTAATGTTGTTCGTTTGTGCGATCATCCTGGCTTTAGGGTTCATTATTAATTAGTCTACAAACGTATCCAATAAAAGATTTTGTGTTAAACAAATAAGAAATGACAGAACTTTTTTTTAAAAATTAATCATTTGCAAAGAAATGGCAATACTTCTCGAATTCCCATCTAAAACAGTTAAAAATTTTTTTTCAGCTAGGAATGCTAGGATTGATCATTGGTGATAATTTGGGGATAAATACTACACTTGAATTTTCTAAATCATTTTCGGCCACTCATTTTGTGTAGATTTTGTCAAAATAATAAAAAAGAAACACAAGTTCTTCCAAATGAAATTATTGAATCTCTATGAATTAAAAGAAACTATAATGGAGATATTGCAAAGAAAAAAATAGTAAATTAACAGGAATTTATGAAGAATTTACCTATATTTAATACAGTTCATTTATTCCATGTTGTTGAAAACTTTTCTGTAGATATCATTAGTGACATTTATGAAGGCATAGGAAATTATAATATGTATCATATTACTCATGTTATATTAAAATTAATTGATTTTCAAAAATCATTTTGCTTCTTATAAAATAAACACATCTATTAAAAATGCCAATTGTGTTTTAAAAAATATAAATTAATTCAGTATCCCCCACCTCTCTATTTATATTTACACATTACCTTCTAATGAAACTATTGTGAGGTTGAAAAATTATTTATTTTTTAATTTTATAATACATTTTTGTTTCTTTTTATTATGTAATATACTTTTTTGAACTTTTAATTCATTTAATTAATTTGTACAAATTGTATTTATTTTTTTAAATGATTTATTATATCTAATTAGGTATGTAAAATCATTATTCATATAATCTTGTACTAAAAAAAAATTATTTATTTATTAGGGCACTCATATTTATTTTTACCGTTGTTAAATATAAATATTATGTATAATATATGTAGCTATATAGTAAATAATATAATAATATATTAAATTTACTTGATAAGTCAGTTAAAAATGTCACCTATACTAATTATTCATAACATACAATAGATAATTTAGGTAATACAAAGAATATTATTTCAACTTTTGATTTATATTTATAAGTAAGCAATTTTAATGAACATAACTTTGTAAGTATAAAATATTATGATTTTAAACATTAATTAAATATATTGAATGAATAAAATAAAATTATGTGATTGGAAAAGTTACTGTTTTAGTAGGTACCTAATAGGTATGGACTTTATTCCAATTAATATTTGTTTCTATCATATGATTTCTTACTATGTATTAAAGAAATAATTTCTTTAAACTGTATAAAGTCAATTAATTTAGTGTAAAATTTACTTTTTTTTTAAATTTTCAACTTTTTTGAATTCATGAAATCAATAACCTGAATATATTAAGCCCACCGAGATTTTCTCGGTAGCTTGCCGGTTCAATCTGGGCCTTAGTGTTTTTGAAATAATTTTAAATTTAAGTTCTGTGTTCTGTGAATGCCCTTTCTACATTTTCTACAGTCATTATTAATGTAAGGAATACATAAAATAAATTTTAACCAAGAAAACAATTAATTACATTTTCATATTACAGTGACGAACCCAGGAAGGACACGAGGGTCATGCCTCCCTTATTGGCAGTATTTGCTATATTTCATTTAGGATATACTAATTTACCAATTTAACAAATTTAAAAGTAATATAAGTATTAATAATATCAATGTAAAGAACAATTAGGTAATGATGATAATTTTATTATTTTAATATGAAGTGGTAGATAGTGTGTTGACAAGTTGAGTGAGGCCCAAATATTTCTTAACGTGATTTTGGTACTATCCATGTAATATATATTTATTTTAAAACTTAAATTATCCATATACTACTATAATTACCAAATAGTAAAAAATAATAAACAGAAAAGTTCTGTGTCTTATTAAATAGATGCTAACCAATTTATAGACACTATTCAGCTAGATTAATATCCAGCTTAAGTGCCTTCATTTGAGAATCATAATCTCCATTGCCTTCAGAATTAGACTTACCCCAAAACCTAGTCATGACATGACAAATATATTCGAGTACAAGAAATGCTTTAAAAGTATTAATATATAGAAAAATACTTTGAGCAAACCACTATAATCATTTAGTATTTTAGATGTATTTAAAGAACAAATAAAATAAAAATAGAAAACAAATACTAATTTTAAAAAATGCGATCTATTTTATGAAATAAACTTACTATAGAATTTCTGATATTTTTTAAGCAAAAATTCAAAATTAAATTTAATACATTTTTCTAAATTGAAGTATTAAAAATATTTTATTCTTGTTAAAAATAATAAAAATGATTAAAATTAAATACATTTATTACAAAAATTAATCTTATAAATATATTTTTTAATAATTGAAATATAATATATTTCTAGTATTGTTACAACTATAACTTAACCATCATTAATTTGTGATATTATCATAGATTGATTTACATATGTAGTATTATAGTTTATAGCTGAATGTTAGACATAATTATCAAGCCCAAAATCATACTATATAAATTCTTTAGTTTTAAATTTCAAAAAAGTATCTTCACATTATATTAAAATATAAGCCCCTTAATATATAAGCCAGTGTACAATTTTCTAATAATATATTTTTGATAAGAATAAATGGATTTATATAAGTATAAAATGTTGATAAGTAATAAAAACCAACTACAAAATATAAAATAAATTTAAAGTAATTGGAGAGGCAATGAAATAATATTATAATCTTTTTTTTTAAAAGCAAAAAATAAATAAATGTTATTTTAAATTTTAATATTAACAAAGGTTTTACTTATATTTGTTCAATACTTTTTAAATAACATTTTCTATTGCAATTTGTATCAACATTAAAATTTTAAATCAAAAGAATCTAATTGAATATACAAATTAAATTAGTTTCACAGCATTAGTAGAAAAGATAAAATAAAAATTATGAAAAAACATGTAATTCCAGATAATTAAAATGTTTAAAAAAAAAAAATTGACTTAATATAACTAATAGATTAGGTCTTTTTATATAATACAACAAAATAATCAATGAACATATATTTAAAACAATAACATTACTAATACTACTGCTATTACTTAATTATTTTATATATATTTAATGAACAAAATTTTAAACATAATATGTGTTAAGTTTTAATATTCAACATAAATCTAGGGACTAGATTGTCAATAGTTTCTTCCAGTGACATATTTAGGATTTATTAAGCAATTATATATATTTTATTAAGATATCAGAAAAGTTAAAAATTAATTGTATTATTATTAATTAATATTTTTATATTATACATATAAAAGTGTCTAACTCACCCACACCAATAAATATGCCACTGTTTACTTACTATATTTGAAATTTAAACCAGATTATAGTATACAGATAATAGAGTTAAAATTGTTTAATCAACAAAGATAGAAGTGAATAAACATGCATCATAGATTACACATCGTGTATTTAGCAGGACTTCTGCATCAACTTTAGGGAATTATCTTTGAATTTTTTATTTCATAATTGATAATGATGATTAATGAATATAAATTTTTAAGTTATTTTAAGCAACATTTTCTTAAGTTATAGAAAAATTAAAACCATGAATTAGAAAACGTAAAATAAAGTCATGGAAATCTTATACAATTCTAATTGTGATTGTTTACAATGTTATATTGTTATAAAATGACTTATTGTACAATAAATTTACTGAATTAAATAAGTAATATTAAGTATTTAAATTCTGGTTGGTACAATTATCAATTTAAAAAAAAGTCAATGAAATAAGATTTTTTTTAATATTACAGTATTAGAACCAGTTATATAACTTACAGTGTTATCTAAAAACATTTAACAGCAAGAAAACTTGAATAATAATAAAATTAATTTTAAAAACAAAATAATTAAAATACTAATTGGTGCAAAGTTTGAATTGTTTGTATAATTAACTAATACATACGTGAATAAAGTAGTTATTAAACAAAATTGTTATAAAAAATATAACGATCTATTCAAGCTGTTGAAAATTATTAATTATTTTAATGTAGCATGAATAAATTTTTAATTATTTTTTTAAATTAACTAAGTACAGTATAATTAAATTATATCTGCATATTTTAATAATTTTAACGTATTACAATTTATAAGTAATTCTTATATAGCACTAAATACTGTAAATAGTTTGTGTATTTATAACATACATGCCATGAAATTGTTGATTAGTAAAATCAATAAAAATCTATCATGTTAGAAAACTTAAGGTAAGAATTCCATCTCTCTTTCAATTCCAACAAATTTAAGTTGCTCAGTTGGTCCATATCTAAAACAAAATATATATTAGTACAAAATTATTAATATATAAATGTTTAATAATTTTTGAAAATAAATTAATAACCTGTAGTCAAAAAATAATTCTTCACCAGGTTGTATAGGACGTTTGGCAAATATACCAATTCGATGATCACCATTAACCATCATAACTTTAGCATAACAATTTGGATTAATTGAATGGTTGGCAAATCTTATTTTATTGCCTTTTCGTGTAGCATCAACAACAAAATCTATTATATAAACCATAACATATAAGTTATTTATGCAAAACATCATCAATGAGTTAATTTTAATACATACCATGATTTAAATTAAATAAAAAGCTACACATATATTTATCGTAAACTTTTCCACGCCGATCAGCTTCATCTTGAGTAATAATTTCTCCACAATATTCAGATATAAATTCATTTTTTTGAGCTGAATCTTTCAAAAATATACCCCAACCAGCAACATCTGAAGGTGCCATTAATAAGTGTTTGCCTAAAATATAACACAATTATTTATTATAAATGTAAATACTTCTAATACATTGTACTTTAAAGTAAACTTACGGAGGCCTCTTTGAACACTGACATTTTTACATGTTATATTTTCTAAATTAAACTGATCAGCACCACAAGTTAAACATAAATCTGGATCACATTCACGAACAGCTAAATAACAAGGACATTGTTTTGTGTTACACTGAGCACGACACCGACAACCCGGAAAACGATTTTGACCTAAAATACAAAAAGTATTTACATTAAATACACAATATGATATAAGAAATCTTAGAACACTTACAATCTGAACTACATTTGCAGAATTTTTCACAGAAATTCTGTGCCATTACACATGGACAAGTTGCATCACATCCTTGATTTGGTGGGTGAGAACATGGGGTATAATTATATAAATGATTTGATGCAGAGTCTCTCTTTAGTTGTACTTTTCGACAATGTGTTTGCCATAAACGTAACTTTTTCTTTTTTTTTCTAGGTGGAGTTAGTTCACTAATTGCTTCTTCAACAGTAACTTCATCATTTTCATTTTGTGCAAACTCATAAACCTGCTGACAACTTTTTGTTAACATCATCTGAGCAATGACACAATAATTATTCAGGAATGTACGACGAAGTGCACGGAAAATTGATTGATCTGATCCAGTCCACACTTGTTTATCTTCAGTACTCATGCGTGGAAGTAAAGAAAAAGATGTTTTTGTTGATAATGGATCTTCCATGTCTAATTCCCCATCTGTTGAAAAAAAGAAATTAAGCGTTATCCATTATAAAATGTATAATTTTAAATTATTCATTATTATACTAATACATTACCTTTACTGCTATCTCTGCTATCTTCAGAACTAGCATCATTACCCCAATCAGAACTATCTTTTTTTGACAACTTAACAGAAGAACCTACAGGTTTTTCATTATTTTCATTCGGAGGTGACAACTCTTTCGTATTACTAGAAATTGTTGTAGACCCAGATCTATTTGTTTCTTCATCTCTATCCGCTTGTTTTTGCTTTTCAGCTTTAATTTCTGCAATAGCAGCTAATTTTTCTTTCATTCCATCCTGGCAAAAAAATGTATGTCTATAATCTTATTTAATGTATTAAATATGATAAATTTCTTACAAGTAACATATAACAATCTTGACTACAGTGAGATGAAAATGGTTTTAACAAAGGTCCTTTAAGACCAATTGGCAAATTAGTACCAGAATCGTGTTCTTTAAGTTCTAAAACATAAACAAATAAGAGTTTAATGATTAGAAATAATAGTTACTTACAAGAAGTAATATATACATACTGTGTAAAAAGCAATCATATTTGTAACATCTTCTACAAAACAAATTTAAAAATGAATGTATAGTTTGCTCTTTAGGTACAGATTCAGCCTTTGGTCCATCAATGTTTGGAGTGCATTGAGATGGCTGTGCATTAGGGTCAACACAAGATGATAATTCAATATACCTAAAAAAAATTAATATTCAGATATAGATATATTTACATAGCTTTTTCACTTTTCAATATTTTATTATTGGTTAGAAATAAAATTAATGACATAAAAATCTTTAAATATTAAATATAAATATCTTTTAATTTAACTCATATTTTTATTTTATTTTTTCTTATTATATTAATCTAATTGTTTGTTTGTATTGGCTATAACTAGATATATAAGTTTAATTATTTAGTCTCTATCTCTATTGTAATAATATAGGATATTTTATGTCATATTAATTATGTTTAGAAAATATGTTAAGTTTATGTAATCTCTATTTCTATTGTATATGATTAATATCTATTTTACACATTGAAAATTGTAATTAAACTGTCATTTAAAAATTTTAAAATATTACACAAAATAATCAATTAGTAAATATAATATTCACTTTTCTTTGAATTCTTCAGGAGAACCTTTATCAGGAAATGCAGCTGACATAGCTTCAAATATAGCCATACTAGGAAATGGCCTATCATCCTTACTGTTTTTTAACACCATTTTTGGTGTCAATAAACTTTGTTGTTCTTTATCTTCTTCTTGCTAAACAAGTTTATTAACATTAAATCTCAATTACAAAATAGATTTATTTTATTTTACCTGAAATGGTATGAGTGCATGGACTAAGTCAACAAACACCTGGTCATCTAGAAAGTTTGCGGCATCATCATCATGAACTTTATTATCATAATTTTTTAATAATTCTTCAATAAAAGAACCATCTTGATCAAGTACCTCGTCTCCCATGTAGGGGATATTATGTAGAACAGTTTCATCATCTACCTACAAGACATTAAATTGCAATTAAATAATTAAAAAACAATATCAAATTTTTTTAAATTATTATTAGCTTCTAGCATAAACTATTAAAAATCAACAATAAAGTTATTTAACAAAATATTATAATGACTCGAAGATTGAAAGAAAGTTTAGGTATATATTGTCTATCAATTATTACCATGAAATTTTGTTGAATCGGTGCCCAGATATACATAGTAGGTATAGGTGCTACAGCGTTAATTATTTTAATTGGAACACTCATAGTTTCTTCACCAATACCATCCACTTTGGATACTTCTGACCGTTTGGATCTGGATACTGTTTCTATGTATGGTCGACATTCCCAAACTGCTTTTCTCGACAACAATCGTTTGAGTTCTTCTGCTTTTTTTTCTGAGTAATACAAATAAAACATAAATAAAAATAATAAAATAAAAATATAACATTTTAACTTACCATACAGCTTCTTCTGATTATTGATGCATGCCAATACATTGTCATCGTCTTTCTTTGTTTTTTTGGCCTGCAGTAATCTAAAATACTCGGCTTTAACACGTTTTTTCCAATCGGCATTGTTTTTAGCTTTTTTTTCGGACATAATGGTGTTTTTAGTTGACTAACTTCTGAGAATATAATACACTAAAATCGAACATCAAAACCAATAAGACAGCCGATAGCCACATGACTAAGAACAAAATATGATAATATGCACACAAGTAATTACCTCATTCAGATAGTCAATAGTCACACAGTACTAATCATATATTCATCGGTCAAACTTATTCCATCTTCATAGAATTATAAAAATGTAAAATTAATTAAAAACTGTTTAGTCTTTACATTGCTACCGGTTCAAAACTAATAACCAGATCCTAGATTAATGAATTTCCATAAAAATATTAACTATTGTGTGTCCAACAGTGTAAACAAACTTCAATTTTTCAAAAGTCGTTTTCTTCCGTTTTATTATATGTTTATCAGCATATATTTTACTACCCGATTACGTTTACAACATCATTCATGTCGCTAACACATAACCTCCAATTTGCCCATAAACCAGGCATCAGCTGTCGCCTTTTTGAATGTTTATTAAAGCGGGAACATTGAACAAATCATACATGCAAACCATGAACTATATATATATATGTATATCTTAGTTCATGATGCAAACCAAACACAGTGATCTACTCTGATACCAATCATACGATTTTTAAGGACTGACTTAATGAATAGTAACTACTAACTAGTGACTAAATAGTAAATAGTGACATAGTCAATAAGACAAAAGACAATCATTATTCAATAACCATGATGAAAATTGACCTTTAAAAAAAAAAATTTAATGGCTAAATGTTTAATGAATATCAATAATTAATATTAAAATAATCTATTCTCAAATAGAAGCTCAAGACTTTACGAGTTGTCCCGTTATTTAATTACACACTATTAGTATTGTCCAATGTTAGCTTATATTGCTTACAAAAATATAAAGTTACTTAAATTTCAAAACTCGAATTTTATAATACTAAAAAGTACTAAAATATGAACTAGATATAATACCTACTATGTACATTTAAGAATATATAAAAAAAAACAATGTTTATTAATTATCATTCATAAAAATTATTTAGTCACTCTAAACAAGAACTTATGAGAAATATTGAATCATGTGTTTTAAATTTTTTTTATAGATATGTATTACAATCTGTAAAATATTAACAATAAATATTTTTTTTTCTACTAAGTTATTAAATTATTTCAACGCAATGATTAAAAAATAATCATATACTCACGTTTATAATATTAGGTATTTGGTACCTGAATAAAATGTAGGCACGTGAATAAACATGAAACGCGTGATTAAGGCGATAAAAAGACAATTAATTTACATCGCTTAATTCACCTCACGGAATTGGTACCTATTAATTCAACTAAACTTTTGTAGTTAGGTATGAAAACACAACCGTATGAATTTCAGTATTTAGAATTTTAAGATGATTTGATGGTTGTAATATCAATGTGCCTAATGGTATTATATTGTTAATTGTTATTTATTTCTATAGTGGAGGATATTCGTATTATATTTCTTGTTGGAATTTGAATTTTGGATTGGTAGAAGATATTTCAGGCAAAAAAGGGAATGGAATTAACTACATTTTAAATTGTGATTTTAAATATTCTTTAATTTTTCTTAAACATAAAGGCTATCCGACAGTATTAATGTATCATGTGTTATAAATTATAATAATTGGTATAAATAATAAATATATTAATAATAAATAATTCCACGGAGTTGATATACGTATAATTTGTAGATAGTGTGTATCTTATGAGAATCCGTGGACAATTTTACGTTATATTTAATTATTTTGTGAAAATTCGTATTCAATTTCTTGTTATAACTTTACAAAAATGTTTATACATTTTGGTTATTGCTTACATCATAGTATATAATATTTATTTTATAATTATTACTATAGGAACGGGAAGATATCAAATATTGTTATTGATAGTTTGTGGTTTAGTGAATATGTCTATATCACATAAAAAAATTGTTAATAAAAAATATCTGGTGAAAAATTAAATTATCTACAGTTCTTGATTTTCAAATTAGAATACCTACTAAGAGAAATTATTGTTTTTTTTATATATTTTTTGAAATGTTTGGCTTTTTAAAAAAGTAAGCACTAATAATATCCATTTTACAACCAGCAACTTAAATCAAAGTTGTAGAAATTGAGACTAAAGAAAATGAACTATTCTAAAATCAATATACTCATGATTTATTACTTCATTTAAAGAAATCTAAAATGTATTTATAATTTATATTTTGTTATCAAACACAACTGTGCGTTAGAATAGTGTCGCATGTGTTTATAGATTAAATGGTATACTTATTTATAAATTAAAAATATACTTCTATTAGAATTAAATTAATGTAAGTTATAAAATTTTTAGTAACTTTATTAAATATTATTATCTTAGTTTGTGTAGACTAATTAAACTATTTCAGATTTGTACAGTAAGGCAAAAATTTTAAATATAGGTACTAATATTTTTTGCTAAAATCCTCCATGTTTATAATGAAACTCAAATTCTTAATAGGTAGATGGTACACAGAAATATGAAAATTTAGGTGATTTAAGTTTTTATTAAATTACTATAAAAAAGTTTATTAATAATTTTATTTAAATTCATATCAATATAATAATAGAGGATAAAAACTATAATATAGTCTTCAAATTAGTTATAAATGGTTCTCAATAAATTTAATAGGTATAATTTATTTTAAAGTACTTGTAAGATAATTAATTACTTCCCTTCAACATGAGTATAGTACAGTTAGGTTTAGTAAGAATTTTTGCAATTGAAATTTTTCTGCAGATTTTAAATTAAATTAACAATACAATAAATGATATCATTATTATAATAAATAAATTTATTAAACAGTGACTTAATAATAGTACATATCATTGCAATAAACATTAATTATTTGCTTCAAATTAATTATAGTTAATCTTAAATAAGACAACTTGATACATTATACGATTGACTTTAATACAAAGATTTAGAAAAACACTTATACAACATAAAACTTTTAATAATAAATATAATAATAATGTATAATAACAAATTTCTTCAAATTTTGGAAAATCTATAAATTCCGTTCATGCTTCCATTATACTACAAATGACATTCTTCGATTTCTTCTAAGAAAACACCTCTTGATGATTATTTCTTTATCAATTCCAATAATTATTTTTTGTAATTCTTAAATATTGAAAATATTTACATGTAGTTTTAAACTATTCTACAGCTAAACTAAATGATTCAATATCTGTAAAATGCTCATTCATTGATTGAACAAATGCCTCTTCTTGAGGATCCTTTTTCTTTGGTTTATGTTTTCTGTATTTTTTTGTTATTTTTACGTCTATTTTTTCTTCTTCTTCTTTGTCTTCATACAAACTTTTATTGTTTCTTTTTTTTCCAGGATATGATCTTCTCGGTGGTTTTTTAAATCTGACATCTATGTCAGCTTCAATTTCAGCTAATAAATCTGTAACATTTGTACAGCTTCTTTCTTCAGAAACATCAGAAAAAGTTGTCCATTTGTCATCAGAATCATTTGTAGTAGTGACAGTTAAATTTTCAGTTACAGTAGGTTCATCTTCTGGATCACTATGAAATAGTTCCGGAACTCGACCATAATTTACATTTTCTTCTATAACAGGTAATATAGGTTTGAATTGGTGACAATCAAATTCTGTATTTATTGTTTTATTTTTGTCCTCTTTATTTATTACACTTATGTTTAAGCTATTATTATCTTTTAAAATCCTTTTTGAATTATTTTTATAAAGTTTAGACGGAGTAGATGATTTTTGCGGGGGTTCAAAATTTTCTTCATCTCCAATAGATAATTTGCTTAGACGAACTAACTTTTTCTTACGAGCCATTGATGTATCTTTTGCTGCTCGACTCATAATTTTAATGAAATTTAATTTCTGTAATATAATCAAAAATAACATTTATTTAATAAGTTTTTTTAATCACATACATTTTTTCAATGAAAACATACAATTTTAATTTCTTATACCAAATTAAAGTAGTTATAGAGTATTTTGATACATGAAAATAAAATTTTGACAAGCAGTTTAAAAGTTATAGCCTATAGATATTTCAATTTTAAATAAGCTAAATAAAATGGCAAAGAGATATCCTACAAGTGCTAGTCTATTATTATACCAATTTAAACTTTAAAAAAATTTAAGATTATAACCATATTATTAACTAAAATATATATATATTTTTATTTAAAAACTTTAAAGAATATTCTTCATTGAAATTTGAAATAAAAATATATAATGTTAATCAAAAAAGGAAAAAATAGTAAAAATTAAATTCAATAATTGTTAATAACAATTTAGTTACGTAAAATAAATATTTTCAATACTATAAATAGGTAGTTTATGAAAAAATGAATGTTTTATCTTATATGAATAATTGGTATATTACCTATATTATATTGTACTTAAAAAGAAATGACCATCAACTATATCATAAGCCAGTTTTTTTTTTCAGGAAAACTTAGTTTACCTCTTATTTATTTTTAAAAATTCATAGTTACTTGAAAACTTAATTAATAACACGAAAAAATTTAAATATTTGGTTCTTTTCATTTAACACGAAACTTGAAAATTCATTTTTAGTATTACTTGCTTGGTTTTATCACTATTTCTCTCCTAGATGGTAATTTTCATCTCCTAGAAGTTGAAAAATTAGTAATCACCAATCTCATAAAAAATGTTAAGCTGGGTTTACACAACTAACCAAGTCTACTTGAAATTATAGTCAATTTGGTATGGAATTATTTAAAAAGTTTTAATATTTGTATGCTCGCTGTTTTTTAACATTTCAAAACATATACAAACAATTGTCAGAAAAAACTATTATATGGCCATAACTATAGAATGTTTGAGGTCTATACATTTAATACATTGGCTCTTTTTACCAAATTAATCAGAAATTCAAAAACTAATAGATGTAACATTTAGACCACAAAAAATACATACCCAATATACTTAAAAATAGGTTAATGGAATTCTAATATACGGGCAAGATGCCAAGCTTAAATAGACAAAATATTCTATCCATAGATCTTAACAGTTAATTAATGAATAATTTTAAAATTTATTGTAGACACTATTAATTTTATAGAATTTTAAGTCTCAATAAATGTGGAAATGCTTAATTTATGAAACTGGCCATAGTACCTTTAATGAATAAAATGACACAAATTCTACAATAAACCTAATAAAATTATAATAGTAAAAAGGTACAAAAATACATGATTAGGTTAGGTAATGATATAGAATCAATAAAAGATGACCAACTAATGTATCTGGAATATAATGCATAAGTATTAATGAAATATCAATACTGTAATAGTGGTACATACCAAAACACTACCATTAACAAAACATAGTTAAATTAAAGGGATAGTACAAAAAAAAAAATTATTGAAGTATATGTATGCACATATATTTGACAAGTACACCAATTATGGGAAACTGACATAAATAAAGCTGATTAGGTAGTTAAGAAATCAGCTAAACAAAAGCAATATTCACAAAAAACAATATAATACTACTACACCAAAATTGTACCAGAGTTTGTACAGATATATATATAATAAATAAAATTAAATATTTTAACATGACATTGTCATAAATTAAAAGTTAGATAATTAGGTACAACCAATCAAATAAAATTACAATTATAAAATAAGTCAAATATTAAATTATTGTTTTCTTCAAAATCTAATTCATTAACAGGATTAATATTAATAGTACACTTACTTCCACACAAGGGATATTTCAAAATAAATCGACTTTTAAGAGTTAAGACTTAACTAAACCATGAACGTAAAACTTATTGTTATACAGTATTTACTATTTGTACTTAATAATTAATATATAAATAATGCCAATTGTAAGCAATAAACTGGTGGTATGGTCACTACGATTATGGTCTGTAAAGTGTAAACTATAAAGTATAAAGACACGAGCCATAAAGCCGTTATCCGAAATTCTGAAAAACAAATAACAATAACAACCAATGCTGAAACTTAACTACGTTAAATTTGTTACCAACCGATAATAAATAATTTTATCACCTTATCGAAAATGTATTTAAATACAGTTTTATTTAGTTAATGGTGGCACTGCTTAGCTATTTGATAATAGTTACGTAATCACACAACAGTTTAAATTCTAAATTCATATTTCATAAACATTAAACATTAAACAGTAAACGCATTAAAACATTTTATGTTCGTAGATAATTTAATTATTTTAATAAATAATAAATATTTTATTTTTATTTGAAGTAAGCAATTTATATTTTATACGAATAATACACCATAAATTTATACAGTTAGGTGTACTTTAAGACATAAGCAAGAAAGTAGTTGATTTATGAGTCGCTCATTAGCAACATTTAATTCCCTTAATATTATACGTTTATATAATACCACTTCCATTTTAACCTTTGTCTAGGGTTTTTTAGTAATGTAAAGATTTAATATTGGAATATCCCTGGGGGATTTTAATAGGGGATTGAAATAACTTCTACTATTTAAAAATAGATTTAGTCACTTAGCTTAGCCCTGTTACAGATAATGCAAACAACACATATTACATTCTATGTCATGCTGAATAAATACGAAATAATCATCTAAAAAAAATAATGGAGAATTATTATTATTCTAATTGATAAGATATAAACTAAGACTAAAAATATAAATAAAATATCAGATTAAAAATTAATATGGTGATATTTTAGAACAAATATCTGGTACTAAACTCGTCGTTTCACGTGATAAACATTCAACTTTTTTTTCAATCATAATAAATAATAACTACCATAGAACAAAAGAAAAATGTTATAAATTATTGTTAATAAACAAAATATCTCATTATTTTATAATTACATTTTAAGTAGTGTTCATCAGAATGAGCATAATTTAATATTTGGTATTGATTCTTAGTTATCTTTTATTACTTGATAACTGAAATAATTTAATAATTATTATATTTGTAAATGCTGACCAAGTAAACAATATGACCAATATGTGCAATTTTCTTAATTATTTCTTTTAAACTAATAAGTAAAAAAAATAAAAATAGTAACAAAATCATGTAATTATTTAATTTATATTAGTTTGATTTTTTTTTTTTATATATAACACAAAATCTTACAATTGAAAGATTTTATATTTTATGCATGTATACAGTTTAAATTTAAACATAATATAAAACATAAAAATGATTAACAAAATAAAAAATAATTCAATTCAAAAGGTATATTATTATCACAAGACAAAAACCAAATAATAAATATTAATATAAAATAACAAATAAAAATAATTATAGTTTAACGACAACAAAGAACAAAAATAATGTTTTAGAATAACCTAAATCATCTATCAAATAATGTTTTACCTTCTTTGGCAACTTTTAATGCATGCATTATTGCTACAGTATCTAGTTCTTTTTGAGTGGGTCTCTCATTATCTAAACAAAAATCTGAAGTTTTCTTTTTTAGTATTCCTAGTACTTTAATTCTGTAATCAACTACAGTTGACACAGGATTTCCAGACAAAACTAAATAATTCATATTCTGTAATTCACTCAAATATTTTAACTGATCTATGTCATTAACTAAGTTTGAGCCTAAGTCCAACATTTCTAATGAAAATAATTTTGAAAATGGTTCCAAATTAGATATTTTATTTGAAGACAAATTTAAACATATGACATTTCCTAGTTTTGTATGAAGATCAGATACTTCAGTAATATTATTACTTGATAGTGATAAGTGACTGAGATAAGTAAGAGATGACATATCTTCAATAGTATTCAATAAATTTCCATTTAAATTTATTGTTTTAACATTTGGTGTTAAAACTGTGAGACTTTTTAATGTTAATATTTCATTCCAACTGAAATCAACTACTTTTACTTTATTCCAAATCATACTAGAATCCATGTCAGAAGACCATTCTTTATGAACGTTATCACATAATAAAATATCTTCAGGAGTTTTGAGTTTTGAGTTGTAAACTGTGATTATACGAACTGTATCTCGTAATGTCTTTAAATTATATATCATATTATAGGCAATATTATAACATTCAAATTTATTCACATTCTTAAAAGATGATAGCTCAAAACTTAATTTATTATAAATTATGTTACTTGTACCAACATAATGATCTCCTCCTTTAATTGCTAAGTATTTAAACTTTGAACAAAAATCCAACACATGACTGAAATTATACTCGTTATTTTCACTATCCGGACAAGGTAATTTTAGTCTTTCACTAATTGCATACAACAATAAAACATTAAAATTAAAACCATTATCATTTAAAAGGTAATCATCACCGTTTTGAAAAAAATCTGCAGCTAATTTTTTGACAATTAAGATTACATCATATTTGTCGAATTCTAAAAACTCTAATAGTTCTTCAGGCATTGATTTTTGCAAAAATGACAAAACTGTTTGTAAATATATTTCCAAGCCAACCCGACGTTTTTCAATAAAATTTGGTTCTTTGTTCCCAATTATTTTTTTTCCAGGTAAAATGTCTTTGGTCACAGTATGTTCGTTTACTAATTTTTTGTGCAGTTCCAAAAATTCTTTGTATCGTTTCTGAACAGTCCATGTAACATCGCCAACATTCACTTTGATGAGATAATAAGTTACTCCATCGGTATTTGTTTCAGCATTAGAAATAGCAATGCTACATTCTTGACAATATTGGACATAACAAGACATTTTATATATTTTGTTGGAAAAATTTAACTATAAAGAAAAACATGTAAATAAATATAACACAACATTAATGAAATTGAATCATTTTAATATTAATAGTCACTATAAAAGACAGATCAATTTGTATGAAACACCACTAATAAAAATAAATAGCATTAAACAAGTAAGTTTCACAGAAAACGGAACATTGTATAAATTAATAAAAAAAGTCTTATAAAAATATAAAATATGAGATTATTCATCAATTATTATCAATATTCTTCAATAAAAAATGATAACAGATTTTAATTTTTATCAATGTTGTTCAAAATTACCTTATATCTATAAGCAAATTACAATATTGTTTAATAGTAATGTTTTTACAATTTGCGCATGCGTTCGAACCGGTATATACAATATACATTTTCTTGTACGTGGATTAATTTTTTTTTTTATTACTATTTATTTAAAATTTTTACAATTATTAATATAAATTAATTATTTAATGATTAGTTGACCTCTGCTAAGCACTAAGTGCTAATAATTAATTACTATAAAGTATAATTACGTAAATGTAAAATAAAAAGAATGTGCAAAATAAAATTTTGATTAATATTGTGTGTAATTGGTCTTCTTTAGATGACATCATCTATGTACCTGTATAGTTAAACCTACCTACCTAAGTCAGTATTACATGTATAAAAATATCATTAGGTGTACAAGTAATCAGTAATTTATTAGTAATTTCATTAATATTCAAAAATCTTCTATTGTGTAGTGGTTTTATTTTAGATTTCTGTTATAGTTTTCAAGTATTATTCATCAATAACATTAAACACATACAATGAGTAAAGTCAAACCAAGAAAGGCTATGGCTTATGAAGATAAACTAGAAAATTGTATTCCGAAGCAAAAGAAACATAACTTAAATGTACCTAAAGCTGTACCTTGTACTATTGGCGATAGACTTAACATAACAATTTTGTTATTTTTGTACACACTACAAGGAGTACCACTCGGACTTTCAGCAGCTATACCAATAATAATGCAGAAAAAACACATAACTTATACAGAACAGGTGGAATCATTTATAATGCAATATTTTATTTATATTATTAATTAATTGTATAAAATTTTAGGCCCAATTTAGCTTTTCTACATGGCCATTTAGTTTGAAATTATTATGGGCACCTATTGTTGATTCTATATTTTGGCCAAAGTTTGGTAGAAGAAAAACCTGGCTTGTTCCTGTACAATATTTAATTGGTAAGTTTAAATATTAATAAATTTGTTAAATACAAATCATTGCTCGATTTTTCTAGTAAAGTTATGTAATACGAGGTACATTTGTGTATGAAGTGTTTATTATATAAAGATTATAAGGTTATTGCAGTGGCAAATGTTTGGGCTTATCCAATTTCACAGTGTTAATAAATAATTACTCTAATAATCATCATAATCAACAAAATGTAAACAAATTAAAATAGATTTTAAAAATAAATATAATGTGTATTAATAAATAAAATTATTTCTTATATATATATATAAAGGGGAAAAGTGAATTTATATGAATACACAAAATATTGTTACTCTTGTTCTCGACTTGTCAATAATCGTACCCGAGTCAAAAATTTCCAATATTTTGTTAATTTTTATATTTTACAATATTCAACTAGAAAAACTGTATAACTATCTTTTCAATTTTAATAATTGGTTAGACTTGATAACTAAATAATTTATATACAGTGTGTTTTTTTTTAAATGTAATACTAAATAATTTTGTCCAGTGACATCAGATTGACATGCAGTTTTCGGAAGGAGATAGAGAATATATAAATACATATTTCTTGATGATTTTTACATTTTTAGATCTTTTTGTGTGCGCGTGCGCAATATAACTTGCATTTTTTTAAATGGCAACAGGTGTCTTGAATACCAAATTCAGATAGACCAAATTTTTTTAAGTAAATTTGATCCTTTTTACCATAGCATTAAAATTAAAATTGACCAAATGACAACAAGTTAAAGTTTTGATTAAAACTATTGAATTTTTCAACAATCATACTAGAAGTACTAAAATCTTATGATTAAATAATATTTACATAAACTATAATGTACTTAGTTTATATTATGATTATTTTTTTTATTGTAATATATTTTTTATATATATACAATAAATTTAAATATCTAAAAAAGAAACTGATGATTTAATTTCTCTTAGTACGTTATACATATTAGATTGACTTAATGTTTCAGGTTTTTTTCTGTTATTTTTGGCAATGAATATCAATGATTGGCTGGTGCTTACAGAAAATCCAAACACTACTTTTTTGACATTAATGTTTTTTTGTTTAAACTTCTTAGCAGCTACACAAGATATTGCTGTTGATGGCTGGGCATTAACAATGTTAAGAAAGTTAGTACTTGCATGATTGCGTAGTTTTTATTTATTTTTTTTTTTAATAAATTATTTTAATCAATAATTACAGAGAAAATGTAGGATATGCTTCAACATGTAATAGTGTAGGACAAACAATAGGTGCTTTTCTTGGCTATGTAGTGTTTATAACATTAGAATCACCTACTTTTTGCAATAAATGGCTACGATATACTGAAAGTACAGAAGGTTTAATCACATTACAAGGTAATTATAAAATATATTACAAAGTTAAAATCATATTAATATTGTTGATTTAATATCAGATGAAATTTATTTTTTGTTTTTGATTTAACGTTATAAGTTTTATCCTAATAAGTAGGGCTCGAATTTTGTAGCAAAATAAATCCTTAAAAAAACATTTAAAGTAGCCAAAAAAAGCAAAATAAGCTTTTATTAAATTTAATTCTAAAAAAACAAATTTCAATTACACATAAAATTAAATATTAAAAATGGAATTTACAACCATGTATTTAGTCAAGTTACTTTTATTAAAACTCATTCTATTGAGTGTTAATATATTTTTATACATAGAAAAAGACCTTTCTATGTCAACTGATATAATCGGTGTATATTTCTTGTAAACTAATTCATTTGAATCGTAAATACAACTATAGATATTGTAGATAAAACTATTTTGGCACAATAACCATAGTTATTTTATCAGTCATACATTATTTACTGGTTTTATAATTTCTGGTAATATAAATATAGTCCAAGTATAATATATATATAGGAATAAGTTAAATTTTCAAGAAAAATATTAAAAAATCAAGAAAAAAGATTCAAATAGAGGAAAAAGCAATAAAAAGTAGATTTTTTGGAAAAAAGCAAAAAAAAAGTTTACTTCATTTAAATCTGAACGATTAAAATTGTATTTATTTATAAAAATTATCTTTCTATCATACTCACCTTAAAAGAAGCATTTGCTACAAAATCCAAGCCTTACTAATAACTACTGTCCTTTTTTTTATAGAAAAATTTCTATGCATCAAATCATCTCAATTCTTAATTTATTATAAAATATAAAATGATGACTTTATAAACTAAAATAATTAGCTTGTAAATTATTATAATAAGTTATTATCATAAAAACAAGCTAAGTGGATTTCATCTACTATTTTTACTGTTTTTTTATTGTATTAAACATTTAGATATAACTTATGCAGAACATCTTCATTTCTTTTTACTAATTTATCAATTTGCTTTTTTTAGGTTTTTTATATTTTTGGGGTTATACATTTATGATTGCTACAACATTGATAGCTATATTTAAACATGAAAAAAAACAATCAACTCAACATGATAGCCTTGATTTAAATTTATATCAAACATATAAACTTCTTGGAGATATCATGAGATTACCGAGCGTTAAAAGTTTATCAATAGTATTACTTACTGCTAAGGTAAATTAAAAAACTAGATAAAAATTATTGTATAATGTATTATTAATTTTAATTTTTAATTGAACAAGTAGTATACTATCTATTTATTAATTTTTGCTCATAAAAATAATAATTTAATCTACAATATGATTTTATAATATTTATTTAAATGCAGTACATGCTTAATCATTACTTAAAATTGTAATCTCTGAGTAATATTAAAATAAAATAAAAATTATAATTTTAGAATAAAATTATTTACAATATTTTAATACAATTTCAAAACAAAATAATTAATATTTCATTTTATCAATTAATTTTTCTTGTCTATTGTGTATACTGTATAGTGTATAAATTAGAAATATCAAAAAAAAAAAAAAAAAATGTTTAATCATAATTAATGTTCAACTACTCTTTTGCAATCTTAAAATAAATTATTTTACATAAATTTAAATTTATATTATGGTTGACAGAAATTTGTTTCATAATGTATGATATGATACCTGCAACTTGAATTGAAAAATTATACACATAATTTATTAAATTAAAATGATTTGGTATTCTGAAATATTTTATAAATTTTAACTTATTTCTATTTTGTTAATAAATAATAATAATAATAAAATTACTAAAGAAATAAATTTATAAAAGGATGGGGCGTTTCCCATTCCAATGCTCATTTATATTTTAAATTATGCAATAGATTTGTTATTTATTTATATTATATTTAATTTTAATGTTTAAAATTTAATTTAAAAAAATTTTGTTAAAAAATATGATGCATAGGTAGTTTTGTATATCATATGAAACATTTATTATTTTTTTATTAACTATAAAATATTTAGATAGGGTTTAGTGCAATTGATGTTGTTTCTAGTTTAAAAATCATTGATAAAGGTATTCCTAAAGACGACATTGCTTTAATTGGGCTATTATCAATACCACTTCAAATTATTATACCAGTATTGATAACAAAGTACACAGCTGGACCTAAACCAATGAATGTATATTTAAAATCTATACCATACAGGTGAAACTATTTAACATAAAATAAACATGTATATATAAAATAATTTAATTAAAAATTATCTAATCTAGATTATTAATTGGTATTGTCATTGCATTTATTGTTTACTTTACACCATATTTTATTGACCAAGATGGTAAAGTTTCAATATTCTATTATATAATAGTATTGAGCTCATTTTTACTACATCAGGTATGTAGTAGTATTAATTTATAGTTTTTATTGTTTTTTATTAATAATTTTGTTTTTGTATACAGTTGACTATGTACTCAATGTTTGTAGCTGTGATGGCGTTTTTTGCCCGTATAAGTGATCCATTATTTGGTGGCACTAATATGACTTTGTTAAACACATTAACAAACTTAGGAGGTGCTT